CTTTAGCCATTAGGTATTCACCGTTTATCAAATTGTTTAGTTACTAATTCTTTTTTCGCACAGATGATATCATGGAGTGGCAGTATAGAGATCGGTGTAACAGAATGCGATCCAGAATTAATAGACTTATTAGCATGTGCCACCAATCTGTGGCAAGGAACATGGATTATGGCCAATTGCGGTATAATCCACAATGGGATAAGGACGGTAGAAATGTATGGAATGGATTTGAATACGTTACAAGAAGGAAGCACTTTAGGAATAATGAGGACGTCAAACGTAAGTCTTTAGGGCACGTACTACGGGAGACAATTTCTCAAGCGCTAAAGTAAGAGTATAGATGTTTAGCTACATGCTATAGCACAGTTCTTTACAATTATTATCGATGTACAGGGTGTCCTGCTACTGGTTGGAAAATTCTGAGGACTGATTCCAAAAGCTAAAATAGATAAATATTAAGAATCAAAGCAATGCTTCTATGGCTCCAGTTTTTAGTTATTAGCGATTAGAAATTGCACCTGATGAGAGGCAAGTGATTCTCAAGGGTAACGTGCGTTCAAGACTCTAAATCCTAGTGTGGGAATAGGTGACAGAATAATTAGCACTGGTGATTTCACAAGAAGATTTATTCAGATCAATTGCGTGCGTCCGTACGCTCGAGAGACTTCCGCTCGAATGCCTTTGTCCCGTTGAACAGACGTCCAACGGCTCTCCCTTATCTCTTCTCAGAAGAATCGCTTTTCTAAAGAATAACGTATAAACATTTCCCAAAAGGGCCATGTGGCCCGTCGCTAGGCCAGTCCGCCACACTAGTATACCTCTAAAGCCGGCTACAGACCTATGCAACGCGCAAAATTCACTTGAAAGAGTCGGTTTTTTACGACCGGGCGCGCACTGAAGGACCTGGCGCGCCGTCAGGCCGCGCACGCGAATGCTCACGCGCACGGCCAAGAAATGTGAACTTCGTTGACACGTTTTAAGCATTTATATTAATTATATATGAGCATGTATATTAATACTTAAAAGTAATTGGAGATGCGCATAATCCGCGAATATTGCATACATTATATTATTTTATCTGAATATGTATTGTTTTCTATGCAGTACAATTTTCTCCCGATTACTCTCTCGATCAGACGAAACCCGGCGTCCCTCGTATGGGACAGTCCTAACGGTTTGCATTGTATTTGACACGTTGCATTTGGGATCACTGCTAATCGAGGACAATCACCTCGCAGCCAATGTGCCCAAAGTAACTGTAACTATTATGAAGTATTTTAGATACACGTTGTACCTGAGAACTGATGCCAGGGGTAATTTTTAATCACTTATAACT